CGCTCTGGTGGTGCACATGGCGCTTGCATGTGTAGCAATGGATGTCTTGACGCCCGCAACATCAACATCAATGTCGCACTGATGCACTGTCGGCCCCATCTGCGCATTGTCGTCAATCTTAACACCATTGGATAGGGAATTTGAAAACCTACCTCATGATATTAAATTTTCATACGCAGGCTGCGCCAAAAGCCCAAACGTCTATGCTTTCTGCCGTCCAACTAGATCATTCACCATAACCGTCTCAGCTACTGTCCTCCAGTGTAACTTCCGCTTCCTAACGACGCCGGTGTGAAGTTTGAGCCCAGCGCCACTGGCCGACCAAAGCGCCGCCATCGCCACCAATAAGAGGATACGGCAGCAGACTATTGCCGTCGGCGCCGCCTTAAGCCCTGGCCCGGGTGGAGGAGGAGCGTTCGGACAGGGGCGGGGAGGTGTCGGAGAAGCGGGAGGTCGTGGTCGCGGCGGTGGTTCTGCCATGCCAGGGCGGAACAAGCAGCAACGACAGCATGAGCAACAACAGCAACAGACGGGACGGCAACGGAGTCACGGCTCGCATGCTGCTGCGCAAGGGGCGGGCATTGCCGCCGCCGGGAACGTGCAGACCCGGGTGACAGGGGCCAAGCTGAGTGATGGTCGCGGCACCGCATCGGGGACCCCGAAACAGCAGCAGCAGCAGCAGCAGGCGAAGCGAAAGGGCAGCCCTCTACCGGTGCCAAGCGGCGGGGCTCGGGCGGTGCCAAGGAGGGCGATGCGGGTGCTGGTAGTACGAAGCGTGGGAAACCGCAGACGCAAACAACGCTGACGGGCTTAGTGCTTGCAGGTCGGCGCAGCGATGGGGCAGTGGCGGCAATTGGTGCTGTTACAGAACAGCAGCAGCAGCAGCACGTGGAGCAGCAGCAGGGGGTGGATCCGTACGAGTTCGAGGACCTAACGAATGACGATGAGCGGTACCAGGATTAGGGGTTTAGGATCAGCGCTGTACAGGGTTGTAAAGATCGTTCTTGGGTAACGCCCAGAGTGGGAGCTGTTGTGCGAGAGCATTGTATGCCTGTGGGGTGGGGATGGAGGAGCGGCATGAGAGCCATGCGGGGTGTTCCAGTCCGTAGGCGAGATTCGGTACGCAGAGTTTCTTGTTTCATAGATGGCTAGGTAGACATTAGGGTGCCGCTTGTAGTCCTTTGTAGGTGTATAGTGTAGGAGAGGTACGTGAATGCTAGTGGGGGCATAGCAGAGGAATGGCGTCGCATGGCACGTGATATAGCGCAGCTCAATTTGAGGCCTGCCGCACTGCCGTAGGTTGCATGTCATGGCAGTGCAGCCATGAGTGAATAGCTTCGCGGCTCGCGCCTTACAATGCGGCTTGCGCCTTCAGTATTTTGGGCTATTACCGTATTGCCCAAAATTTAATTGACAAAAATAAAATGTTTTGGGTTTTGTCAAATGGGGCAAAAATGTTTTTTTGCCATGTCAAATGGGGCTGGAAATTCGCTGGCAAGGTGTCAAATGGGGGCAAAATATTCCGCCTGGGGTGACTGCAGGGTAACTAAGATGGGAACGGAGAGGTAGGGGGCAACTGACTTGCCAGTGCGCTGGATCCTCACCGCGCCATGCCCAGTCGGGGTTTCCAAATGGTGTTCCACTTATCCTCCTAGGGCTGCACAGCGGCATACAGCTGAACTGCTCCTCTCCTTACCATGTTACATCCAATACGTACGGCGGCTTTGGGGGCGTTTTGGCGCATGTCAAATGGGGCTAGAAATTCGCCAACAGGAAGTCAAATGGGGCATAAATTATCCCGCTTTGTCAAATGGGGCTAGAAAATAGGCTTCCAAACGCATGTCAATTAAATTTTGGGCAATACGGTAAAGAGTTTAAATTGCAGGACGTGTCGGGGCTCCCGCTTCTGTAGGTAGAATGGTAGGTGCTGTCTTCAGCTGTTAGCAGACACAGGGGTAGCACCGCTGACTTGTCCCAGTATGGTCCTGTCAAAGTGCTATTAGTTCAGATGCTATACAGCGCAGGAGTGTTTAGATGGAAATGGAGACGTGTCCCTACGGCGGGGGTTGCTGTCTAATTTAATGTTGCCACCGCTGGCACCATTTGGGGCGAAATGTATGTTGTATACATACGCAAGCAGGTTATGAGCAAGCCAGAAGGCAGGGATTCCGACACATGTTTCTTAGAATACTCTTGGGTTCGTGACTAACGTGCAACGGGCGTCCATGCTCGCATTTGTTTGTTGGGGGACCCATACGGTATGGTTTAGGTAGCATCTGCTGCTACAGATGGCCACTGGTTCAATGTGAAAAACGCTAACTTTGCAGGGTTACAGGCTGTGGAGGTCTGAGAGGAAGTTGGTGAATTGTAACGATGGTGATTGGAATCCAAGAATTCTTAGTTCGTTGCAGAAAGTTACCGTACTGGTCTTGCGTTCGCGAGCGCGTGGTACTAGGCGGCAGCACAGATGTTTGGACGTGGGCTACAGCGGTGTGGTACCTCGAACACTACACGTCCATGGTGTAGCCATGTAGCGCAGTGTACAGGCAGTGTGGCCGATGTCGCATTTCACAGCAGGAGGGTCATTGGGAGGATTGGAGGGCTCTGTCCGCTGAGGCCCAATCATGTGGCACTGCCGCCGCGGGTCACAGCAGCTGCACCACTGGGAGGTCCGGAATGCAAGCAAGACAGGACAGCTGTGCTAGGAGCAGGGGAATTGTGTTGAGAAGCACGGGTACAGTTGCACAGGGACGCCAGATGGTGCCGCCGCCCTGACGCCTTCACCTGCAGCCATCTAGATATTTCCCAACACTTGCGGCTCAGCTGCAATACATTGCAAGCGAAGGACAGCCGTATACGGCCCGTACGGAAACCCGTCAGCTTCGCAGACACCGGGGCTCGCCCCCATTTTAAAAAGCGAACTCGCAGTCAAGTAGTGCCCAGGCTGTATCAGTGCTGGCTTTGTTGGAGCTAGCGGAGCGTAGTGGAGGGAGGTTGTACAGTTGGGATGCGTATTACATGTCGCGTGCCTGTTTGACCCTGCTTCCCCGTGATTTCATCCGCCCATGCTGCTCTGATCACAGGCCCTTCCCCTTGTGACAGCATGTCTGTGCAGTAAGCAGCTACAGCAGGGATACGACTTGGTGAGGGGGAAAGTTTAGGGGGGGCCGTTGGCGCCGTCTTCTGCATTAAGGCCAGCGGTGGTGGTTTCAGCACCACGTGGGGCCCGAGGCGTTTTGCTGGGACCATGGTTAGCGGTGAATCGGCAGCCGCGCATTGCATGATGAGGGCGCCATTGTCGTGGTGTCCCGATTCGCTGGGGCGGCGGTGCTTGTCCGCTGCACAACAGGCAGGCCGCGGGAGTGATCACCAACGGCCCGTCAGCCAGCAGGTGGTGGAGCTAGCGATCAGGCATGGGTTGGAGCTCCGGGTGGAGCACATTATTACGGGTGCTGAGTATGGTCGGACAGGCCGCCTTGACCGGCGGTTCAGCGCTGCCAGGGAGGGGTGCGGCACAACAACCAGGAGCTGAGTCCCCATCGTGGTCTTCATCCAGCTGCAGCTGGAAGGGTCAGCAGTAGATGTGTGCGTTAGCAACGTAGACGTGTGGTTTTCGCGAGTTGTAAGCCGCTAGGCGGGCGATGGTAGAGCGGCGGTAAAACGGGATAGGGAAAGGGGGGTTGTCTCTGCGTGGGCTAAGGGTAGGAACATGCCCACGCAGATTAGGTCCGCGACCGTGCCATTGGTTAGTAGAGTTAGCAACTTAGTCTGGTACGGAAGGCACGGTGAGCGCGTCAGGGACCCAGGTATTCCCCCTTTTTCAGTTGACTTCTCCCAGCGCGCTTAATCAATATTCCTTGGTTGTTGCAGTGTAAGGGTCCAGGGTTGGTGTTTCACGAGCCGCTACGGCAGGCATCAAAAAGCTTAAATGCAACTGTGGCGTAGAATGCTATATAAATTACGCGCGCGTTCACATTGGGTTTGGGCGGGGCCCTGTGACGCAAAAGGCGCTTGAAGCATGAGTTTGCAATGGGCGACAGAATTGTTTCTTTTTATTTTCGGTACCTCGGCCTTTTCTACCATCGTTCCGATCTTTGGAAAGTCTGGGACCGATCACGCGTGGCACAAAAGGAAAAGTCTTTTCTTCCACCTATGTGAACACCCTGGCGAAATGTTATATCACTTTCTACCTCTCTCCATTTTGAAATGTTCCCTATGCTGAAATGGTGTTTTGCAACACCATTATCTTAGACGCACCTGATACTCCCGGTCACCTGTTTGGTGTTGGCCTGTTGTGGGGATCCTTTGCCGGACCGCACAGGCAGCACTGTGCCTCCTCCGTGCTCCCTATGTTCTATCATGTTCCTGCTCTTTCCTTTCGGACCATCACTCAAGCAACAGCCCACATGCCAAGCATCCTTTCGGAGGGGAGATATTAGAAGGCCAGGGTGACAAGGGAAAGGAGGAAGGAATGGTTGCTTTATCGTGGAATCCTTCTTCGTACTGGGTTTGTCGTTCTGACTCATTTGTGGAGTTAGCGGTAAGGACGTAAGGGGCAGGTACCGTGAGTGAGTGAGTTGTTACAAGCTCTACGGCTTGTAAGGCCCAGGCGAGCCAGGAGGCTCATGGACCGCGCAAACAACAAACAAAGGAAAAAGTAAAAAGAAAGAGACCAGAACGAAGCGATCTCATGGCCTGCCCTAAACTTGAGTGTTGGCAGTGGCGTGCGTGGCTTTGATGAATGTGCAGCGGAGTGCGGTTGATGGGGCGGGGCTTGGGTGTGTTAAAATAACTGGCCGCGAGGCGAGACGTACTGTGATTGCCGAAAGATGAAGTACGCTTGGGTGTGTGCGTGCATTGTGTGTCATGGCTGGGTTGGCAGTGCGATGGCGTGTCAAAGCGCACACGGCCACAAGTAGGTTTGTGTACGTTGGATCAGCGTGCCTTGTGTTCGCACGTGTGGGTGCGTCATGACACATTGTGTTACAATGAGCGCATTGCATGGAATCAAAGCTATTGTCCGTGTACGGCACAGGCCACACTGTTGGGTGTGCACGTGAGCACGTTACCGCAAGCAGGACGAGCTGTTGGCCTATGTATGAACGCGTCAGTATTGCAGGTAAGCAAGTGTGTTAGGCCTCTCACGATACCAGGGGCATGTGTAATTACCAAGGGCACCCATCTAAATGTTCAGAGTCCGATGTTGCGCACAGTTATTCACTCTTAACCCTGTCCCAAACCCAAGAAAAGCCCTGGCGGCAAAGCAGGAGAAGGCCTGCGGCAGAACTAGACATTTCACGGTCCGTGGGTCCGACCTTTGGCTGCCGTGAAGGGGGAGGGTTACCCTCAACCTTGGGACCCCCTCCCTTCCAGGTCTGTTACGACATGCACTAACTTTCCTAGGGTAGCTGGCCACGGACTAAGTCGCCAATGGTGGCAGTGCACAGCACGACAACCAACGCCCTCGCCACTACGGGTCCTTACACTATATTGTCAGCTTCGCCAATATTATAATGTTCCTACACGACCCTACTGTACTAGTACGGAACTCCCCAGGCCACCGACGGTTATCAAGCAATCAATAGGAGCCCGCTGCACGTTTCACGCCCTGTTCAGCAACCCTCAACCCCTCCCGCCCCTTCTTCACGCCGTATCGGCGCTGGGCACATTGTGCGGCTCGTACTTCTCCAGCCGCTTGCGCAGCGCCGCCACCTCCTGGCTCTTGGCCTGCATCAGCGCCTTCATCTGCGTGAACTGCTTGCTATCTGCGAGTTTGCCCGCGGCGGCCTCACTGGCAGCGCGCAGCTCCTTCTCCTGCAATGCCACCTGGTTGCGGGCGGCCTGTAAAGTAGGAGAGGCGGGGCGGAAGGGAAAAGGGTGTAGACCTGAGGGTGCCGCGAAGGAGGGTTTGAATGCGGTACAACAGTGATATCACATCAAAGAGGTGAGGAGGAGGCGGAAAACCTGTTTGCATCCTGACCCGAGAAGGCCGCAACCTACTACAGTGTTTATCACCACGACTACCTTACCCAACCCGCTGCGCGTCGTGGCAAGTACCTCTTGACCCACCAGCCTCTTCTGAATTTACCTCTCTAAAAGGTAACATGCGCAAAGGATAGACATAGGACGTGTTCACGGTACAGAGGTACATGATGCCTCGGCCCAAGTTTTACGTCCGACTACTAAGACTACGGGGAAAAATTATATAAGAAATGCAAACACATATAACACATTGACTACGGGGAAGGCAACGAGGGAAGGCCAGCGCCTCATCCACGCCTTAACCATGCACACCCCAACTCCCCAAGACCCCATTCCCCTTCGGCCCCCTCGAGAACCTCCCCTGCACCAGCCTGCCCCTTAGAACGCGGGTTTCGGGGTGCCTGCGACCACTAAACACTGCCTTGTCACTTCGTTAAGAGCTTACCATCTCCATCCCTCCCATGAAGCACCCTACGTCACAGTATCACATTGTGCCCTATTATCACTGCCCATCATGCCTTGTTCCCCATATGCCGTATTTTTCATCAATCCAGTCCCTATTTGTAACTTCCGCCATTATTCCCTCCCCATACACCCCACCGCGCCGTCCTAGTCGTGTCGTCTCGTGTCTTAGACTTGCCTTAGTCCTTCCTTGTTCGCATCTTCACTATCGTCCTCTTTAACTTATATTGAACTTCCCCTTTCGCTTTCCTTGCCTCATTCCGCATACCTGACTCTCCGCTGGACATCGCTATCAACTCGCCTCGATCTGACATACTTCATGGTCCTGGCGGCTTGCCAGTGACATGTCTCATGGTGCACGTATCCTGTGCACGCAGGTACGTGTCTTCTCTTGTGTCGGTCACTGTATTACGTGCTCGTCTTGTGCTGTTCCTGTTGTTTGTTTGTGCCCGACGGCGCAGTGGGTCTCCGCGCCAGGATTGTGGGCTCCGAGCATGCTCGCAATAAAGCCCAGGATTTTGGGCTCTGAGCATGCTCGGAAATAAGTGGCGAGATTTTTGCTTTTAATAGCATGCACAAATAGGCTTAATATATGGCTATTTATTACGGTCCAGACTTAACGCGTTGCTGCACTCCCAGCAGGCAGCTATGTCCTGGCCCAGTAAACCCTCCCAAAAGTGTGGCGTCCTTTCCACAGGCCCCATGACCGCGTGACCAGCTGAATTTTGCGCAAAATTCAGCCGTAAAATTCAGCTGTACGCACGCTGACTTTTACCCTTAATAGATTATTAGCTATAGACTCTAGAGATTATTAGCTAAAGACTTACAGCTGAACTTTGCGCCGCGGACCTTCAGCGACTAGATGCCAATGTTAGAGGGACAGACAAAACGTTTCAGGTTAAACGGCGTTTTGTCTATCCTTTTAACATGGGCATCTAGTCGCTGAAGGTCTGCGGCGCTAGCGCTATACCTAATGGCAATTCAGCCAGTACGCGGTGAAAGAGTTGCTTAGCTGTTATGGTGCTAAAAGGTGGTAAATCAGTAAAGGCTGGAAAATGGTAGAGTCTTGGGGTAGCTAAAGGGTGCCTAGGTGCACAGATAGGGTATAATACTAGCTCGCGAGCTGCTGTGTAAGCAGTGTAAAGTTCAGCTGTAAGTCTACAGTTATTAATCTACTATAATCTATTAAGGGCAAAAGTCAGCGTGCGTACAGCTGAATTTTACGGCTGAATTTTGCGCAAAATTCAGCTGGTCACGCGGTCATGAGGGGTCTCTCCTTTCGAGAAAATTGGCCCAAAGTCCCTAAAAATTACAAGCGTTCGTACAAGTACCTCGCGGCTGGCAGAAACATGCTTTGCGCTGTGTTGTTTGTTGCAGGCAGGATTTCCCTTTTGAAAGGTCTGGCTTTCTTTAGTCTGTACTTTTTTTCGCGGCCTCGTTTGGTGCATGTGCCAGCATTTGGGCGATGCCAATGACGTTTGAGGCAGTAGAGGAGAAGGAAGGCTACGATACTCAACCCTTACGTCAAAGAGCCGGCTATCGGCAATAGAATTCACGGCTAAAGTTGAGCCCTAGACCTGATGAGCCTAGCGGCAGTCGGCCGCCGGAGCCGCCGAAACCGAGAACGCCTGTAAGATGCTGACAGAAGACATCATGACGGACATGTTGATGGACAAAGCGTGCGTCAAGCATGTCGGCTTGTTGTGTCGCCAATGAAGCAGCAGTACTTTGATACTGTGAACTTTATGGCTTCTTTCTCATTTTGAGGAATGGTTGACAAGCTAGAACGCTACTTCAAGGGAATTACTGAGTTAATGGACAACAAAGCCGGAGCCGCGGAGCGGCGTTGTGACGATGGAGCTAGTAAAGACACTTCTTTCCAAGACACCGCCATGGCCTTCATTACCCTAGTTAACGCGCACAGTCGTAAAGTGCGCTGAACAGTCTATTGCGTCGGCGAACTTCCATATCCTTGCGCAAACATCAAGACGGGCTGCCAGCCACACCGCGCTTGGACTTGCTGTATGAGCCTTTGGCGCTGATAGCACACAGGCCGACTTCACCCGATAAAAGGAGTACGACCTAGAATTATTATTGCCCTAAAAATGCATTTTGAGCAAATATCACAAGAATCCCCAGCTAACTAAGTTGAGTCTATAAGTGGGATTCCACCCGAAGTATGATCCCACCTCGAGTATGACAAGTTACCGGGAGACTCCAGTAAGGAAGTGGGCGAAAAACCGTGAAAAAGCATGACGAATTAATTAACGGATAAACCGTGGAATCGACATGCCGCAATTACGACATGCTTTTTTGCGGAGTCCTTCTCGCCTGCTACTTTGACCAGAAGCACCGGCAATAGGCATGCCTTTCCGCGGAGTTTTTCTCGTCTGTTACTTTGACCAAAAGCACCGGCAAAAGGCACGCCGCAATCTCGGCATGTCTTTTCGCGGAGTCCTTCTAGGGATTTCACATATGCTGTTATTCCAGATATCGCTACACTGGCCCCAACTGCTAAACTTAACATTGTGTTACTCATAGAATACTGGGCACCGTTAGACAGAGTGTCGCAATGGCATCCTTTTCCGAGCTTTCCCGAAGGCAGGGAGCATGGCGAAAGTCGTTGGGAAAGCCGCCCTTCACATACATGCGTTTGCAAAAATGCACCGTTCTATCTAGCATAAACTGTGAAGCAATATGTCAAAAAGCCGCAGAACGCGCTGGAGGTGCACAATGCTGGAGGCCATGCATGACCGAGTTAGGTCCGCGCCCGGATTGCGGGCTCTGAGCATGCTCGCAATAAAGCCCAGGATTAAGCCCAGAATCTGGGCCGAAATCGCGAGCATGCTCAGAGCCCATAATCCTGGGCTTTAATGCGAGCATGTTCAGAGCCCACAATACGGGCGAGGACCTTACTGCATTTTGACCAAACTGAATCCTCTCTCGCGAACATTGCTCCCTTCAAACCGCCAGGACAGGACTGAACAAACCATCAAATATAGCCCCAATGCGCGACTTTAAAAGGGGAGTCTTGCCATGAGTAAATCACGGGCCCACGGGACAGCACAACGTTACAAAACCGCACTGGCCTTGAGGTACACACAGGATAGGCCCGTTCGGGTGTAAGACAAGCAAGTCAGGAAACATGTAAGCAAGCGCGATGCTGAAGTGATTGCGGCATGCACGCATTGTTTGGGCGGTATATGGCTTTAATCGAGGACAAAAATAAATAAATCAGGGTTTGGGGTGCGTATCTGACCGTGCGAGCGGCGCTTGAGCCCGCCGTCACACCTATAGACTCCTTAGACATGTAGTATCATGTGGCCAAGCGTGGGCCTTAATTGGTTGCGCCATGCGAGTGTAGTTGGGCAGGATGTGCCGTTCAGACCGGGTGCATGGTGGGGGGCCTAGTCAAACCCAGGGTTTGGGGTGCATATCTGACCGTGCGAGCGGCGCTTGAGCCCGCCGTCCTCGTTATCGTCCGTATTACCACTAGACCAGGCCAACCTGACCCCTATCCATCTTGTTTGTTCTAGGTGAATGCGAGTCAACGGGCGGGCAGCGCCCAAGCAAGGCATTCCAACTGATGCCGTCGCTCGCGCGCCATGCAGCACATAAAGGATGCAGGTTAAGCCATATAAGCTGCACAGTTTCCTTTACGAATTTTGTATGCTGATAACCTAGCATTCCTGCTCTAAGGATGTGGGAAGGCTTGTTACTGCCTGAGAAGCGGCACAGAGGAACGTGAAACACAAGAGAGCATTGTAGTATTGTACACATGAATAGCAAAAAGGTGTTATGTAACAACATTAACGGATGCGTGCTGGTGCACTCGTCATCCAAGCGCATGCTCATGAGCTGAGAAGTGTGCACCTTGCGCTGCGAAGGCTTGAGCCGCGCAGCCCTATATATGACATTTCGCAGCAAAGAGAGTACACAAGCGTGGCAAAGGTCAGGCAGAACTGGTTGAGCAACGTACTGGCTTCGCTCTTTCGGGCTGGGCGGGTCGGGCTGGCTCACATGTTGCAACCCATGTTGACGCCTTTTCCCTCTTAATCCCCCCTCAACCCTTCCTCTACCACCCCACCTTCGCCTCACCAGCCCCCACCAACCTGCTACACCACCATCTTGGACACGCTTTGGGATACATTCCTCGCCTTTGAGCAGCAGCCCACCGCAAATGCACGCCTTACTCGCCACTTCCTTGCCAATGCAACCAGTCGTGCTCAGTGCCGGCAACGTTCTGCACAACGGCTTGCAGCCTTGCAGGAGGAGGAGGAGGAGGACGCCCATGATGCCGCGCTCCTTCAAGGTGTTGTACACCTCGACCCTTTTCTGATGAGTACGCAGACCTCGCTGCCCAAATCGATGATGACGACGCCCCCGATGCTCATCCC